CCACCCTAGCATCAGGCTGGGGGACCTCAGGCTGCACCCCGCCCTAGTGCCAGGCCACACCCCCCGGCCCAGTGGGGTTTAATGGAGGACCTCAAGGTGCATTTCCCATCCTGGTGCTGGGTTAGGGAACCTCACGCTGCATTTTCTCTGTTTTCTGTGTCCCGCACGGAAAACAACAGGTTCTTGAGTGGAGGAGCTGGGGATTAAGAAATTAGAGAAAGAAAGAGACAAGAGGCAGAAATAGATTCATAAAGCTGGGCGCTAGGTGGGCGCCATCTCTCTGACGGAGAGACAGTCACACTCACCACAGACAACATAGCATATTCATTGGTTTCCAAAGGGGAGTTTAAGGTCAAATGGAGTTTCGGGTGTGCCCAGATCCTATTCATCAAGATCTGGGTAAGCTCCTCATTTTTTGTTCTACAAGATTTAGCATATCAAGATCTGGGTAAGTCAAGGTCCTATTTGTTCTCATTCCAAGCACATGGATAAAGATAAAAAATCAGTACTGATAACTGGATTCTGCCAGTGCCCTCGGGCTCAGCTGATAAGAATTAAAATAATGTTCATGTGCCTTTCCTGAGGGCTCTCTACACCCTCACCCCAGCACCAGGCCGGAGGGCCTCAGGCCACGCCCCCCACAGGGGATTTCAGGCCATGCTCCCTGCCCCAGGACCAGACCAGGAAACCTGAGGCTGGGCCCCCCTTCCTGGCTGGACTTAACAGGGGACCTAAGGCAGTGCCCCCTACCCAGCAGGGCTTGGCAGGAAACCTCAAGGAGCACCCCAGTGCTGAGTCGGGAGAAATCAGGCCGCACCACCACCCAGCAGGGCTTGATAGTGGACCTGAGGCTGCGCCCCCTTCTGGTGCTGGGCTGGGGGACCTGAGGCTGTGCCCGTTCACCTGGCGGGGTTTGACGGGGTATCATAGGCCCTGACCCCTACCTGGCGGAGCTTGAGGGAGAACCTCAAGGCTGGGCTGGGGAATCTGAGGCCATACCTGTACCAGGGAGAACCTCAAGGCTGGGCTGGGGAATCTGAGGCCATCCCTGTACCAGGCCAGGGGACCTGAGGCTACGCCCCTGCCTGGCAGAGCTTGACAAGGGTGGGATTGGCTGGGTCTGGATCTAGCTCAATGGGAGAGATGGGGGGGTGGCCAGGTCTGGGTCTCAAAGGATTTTGAGGTGCACGTGGGGGGGCGGGGACCTGACTCTGGGTCCTGTGGTGTGCCCCAGACTCTGATAGGAGGAAGGTTTTCATATACATTTTACTAATTTTCTTTCATCTCTGACACTTCTATTATAAAAGCCAAATAGCAATATTAAATTATTTCCTCTAATTAATCCCCTTTAATCTGCACGAATTTCGTGCAGTCACTAGTATATAAAATAACTTGCTAAAATTTTTATTGGGATTGCATTGACTCTATAGATCAAGTTGGAAAGAACTGTTATCTAAATATATTATTTTCTAATCCATGAATCCAGAATAGCCTCCCATTTATATCTTTTCATTTCCTTAGAATTCTGTAGTTTCCTATACATATTTTAGACTCATATCTAAGTATTACTTTTTGTAAACAGTGTTTCAAATTTCAGTTGCACATTGCTGATAATGTATATCAAGCTTGTATTTGTTTGTTTTTTCCCTTAAGCAATACTTTATAATCTTGCTATAATCACTTATTAGTTCCAGCTTTTTTAAATGAGAATTTCTACATAATCAATTGTCATCTGTGAATAAAGTCAATTTTACTTTTTCCTTCCTGACCTGTTTACCTTTGATTTCCTTTCTTTTTCTTATTGTATTATCTAGGACTCCCAATGCAATGTTGAAAGGAATAGGGAGAGGAGATATCCTCCACTTACCAGGAAAGCTTCTAGTTTCTCACCAAGTATAACGCTAGCAGTAGGGTTCTTTTTGTTTGTTTGTTTACCATAATGAAATTTTTTTTAAATATATTTTATTGATTTTTTTTTGCCCCCCTCCCTCCCTCCCAGCAGTAGGGTTCTTAAAAATGCTCTTCAGGCACGAATATACAATGGAGTCAAGACAGTTTCTTCAATAAATGGTGTTGGGAAAATTGGGTAGACACATGCAAAAGAATGAAACTAGATCACCAACTTACACCATACACAAAAATAAACTCAAAATGGATACAGGACTTAAACATCAGACGGGAAACCATAAAAATACTAGAAGCATCCGCAGGCAGCAAAATCTCAGACGTATGCCAAAAGAACTTCTTCACTGATACTGCCCCTAGGGCAATGGAAGCTAAAGAGAAAATAAACAAATGGGACTACATCAAAATAAAAAGTTTTTTTACAGCAAAAGAAACCATCAACAAAACAACAAGAAAGCCCACGGTATGGGAGAATATATTTGCAAATAATACCACGGATAAAGGTTTAATCTCCAACATCTACAGACAGCTGATACAACTAAATAAAAGGAAGATGAATGATCCAATTAAAAAATGGGCAATGGACCTAAATAGAATATTTACAAAAGAAGACAGAAAGAAGGCCAAAAGGCACATGAAAACATGCTCAAAGTCACTAATTATCCGAGAGATGCAAATCAAAACAACAATGCGGTACCATCTCACACCTGTCAGAATGGCCAACATCAACAAATCAACAAACGACAAGTGTTGGCGAGGTTGCGGAGAAAAAGGAACCCTCGTGCACTGCTGGTGGGAATGCAGACTGGTGCAACCACTGTGGAGAACAGTGTGGAGTTTCCTCAAAAAACTGAGAATGGAACTCCCATTTGACCCAGTAATCCCACTTCTTGGAATATATCCCAAGAAACTAGAAACACCAATCAGAAAGGATATATGCACCCCTATGTTCATAGCAGCACAATCTACAATAGCCAGAATCTGGAAACAGCCGAGGTGCCCGTCAGCTGATGATTGGATCCAAAAACTTTGGTACATCTACACAATGGAATACTATGCTGCCATAAAAAAGAAGGAATTCTCATCATTTGCAGCAACCTGGATGGAATTGGAGAACATCATGCTGAGTGAAATAAGCCAATCAATGAAAGAGAAACACCACATGACCCCACTCATTTGTGGATAATAAAGATCATTATAAACTGATGAACCAAAAGATAGATATAGAGACAGTAAAGCAACAAGCAGATTGTCAAATTACAACGGGGAGGGGAGGAGGGTCTGGGGGAGACAATAAATCAACCCAAGGACTTGTATACCTGCATATAAGTACAACCAATGGACATAAAACTCTGGGGAGGGAGGGGATACATGGGAGGGAAGGAGGGGGGCAAAAAAAAAAATCAATAAAATATGTAAAATAAAAAAAAAAATAAATAAAAAAAAAAAATAAAAAAAAAAAAAAAAAAAAAAAAAAAAAATGCTCTTCAGCAAGTTGAGGAAGTTCCCTTCCATTGCTTATTTGTTTAGTTTTTCTCATGAATGTGTTGGACTCGTGTACACTCTGCTGGAAGCCAACGAGATAGATAAGAGTTATTTAGACAACTAGTCATAACTGTCTACTGCAACCAAATCAATAGCTGGATAGTGTAACGGGGACAGACAGGGTCAAGATGGACAGTTCGCTGAACATCGGAGCCCCCAAATGATGACAAAGCCAAATGATGACAAAGGCCTGGAGCCTTAATCAGGAACTCAGAAATCATACCAGTTGCCTTTTAGAATCAGCTCTGCCTATACTGTGCAGTGTTAACATTTTATTTTATTTTTAAATATATTTTATTGGTTTTGTACAGAGAGGAAGGGAGAGAGATACAGAGTTAGAAACATCGATGAGAGAGTCATTGATTAGCTGCCTCTTGCACACCCCCCTACTGGGGATGTGCCCGCAACCAAGGTACATGCCCTTGACCGGAAGTGAACCCGGGACCCTTCAGTCCCCAAGCCGACGCTATATCCATTGAGCCAAACCGGTCCCGGCAGTGTTAACATTTTAAATTTAACATTTTCATGCTCAATATAGGCAGACATACAGTAGGTGTTGGCTCAGAGCCACAGACCTACTCATGCCAGTGGAGCTCTGCGGTGTTTTCTTACAGGGACTTAGCGATGAAGTGAACAGATCTGAGCGATGTTTTGTATTAAATACTTGAAACATTCTTACGCAGTCTCTCCTGCACTATCTGCTTCTCCAAACCTCTCTTAAATCGCAGCGGGGTTTAAAAGTACGCTCTTGATAGGACTCCAAACCTAGCCTAGAAAGCCAGTTATTAACTGCATAACGTTCCGCAAGTTACTTCAAGAACAAAACAAAACACCCGACCACGTAGGTGTGCGATTCAAACCAGGTAACGTTGGGGGGAAAGCCCTCGAGCGCGACGCACACCTGGAAGGTCTTTTCTTATATGTTCTTCCCCACGTAGGTCCCTCCCAGGACCCTGGGTTGGGCAGATTCTCTCCCGCACACGGTAGTCGGGAGCCCACGCGGACCAACGTCAGAGAAAAGTGGAGGTTGTGACTGATCGGGGCGACAGAGGAAGTTTTCTCTCTTTTAAAGCGCCGCCACGCTCCCAGCCCACGAACCCGCTCGGATTTGAGAGGCCACGGCCAGGCCCCTCAACGGACCCGCCCAGCAGCCCGCCCGCCACTCGCCATCCGTCCCCAGGGCAACCTCTTCCGGACCTTCCCCTCCTCCCGCCCCTTTTTCCCATCAACCTTAGACCCGGCATGCACCGCGCCGACCTTTCCCTTCCGCCAACCCCCACCTTCCGGTGTCTCCAAATGACAAGCGGCCGCGGAGCATTGTGGGTTCGCACGCAAAGCGCGGCGGGGGCCGGAAAAAAGAAAGCAAACTACTTGCGCGCGCCGGTAGGGCGGCCCCTGCGCACGCGCACGGCGGAGGCCGAGGGGTGAAAAGGGGCGGCGTGCGGGCTAGGGCGAGCGGAGTGGGGCGGGGCCGCGCGGCCTTGGCGAGGAGTCCGCGAGCCCGGAGGGGCGGGGGGGCGGCCGAGGGAGCAGGCGGAGGAGGAAGTGTCATGGCGTCGGGCCGTGGAGCTTCTTCTCGCTGGTTCTTTACTCGGGAGCAGCTGGAGAACACGCCGAGCCGCCGCTGCGGAGTGGAGGCAGACATAGAGCTCTCGTACCGCCAGCAGGCGGCCAACCTTATCCAGGAGATGGGGCAGCGTCTCAATGTGTATCCTTTGCTGTGCTTGGCTCTCCACTGCTCACGCCCTGTCCCCACGACTCGCCGGGTCTCCAGGGCCTGGTGCCCCGCGAACATGGCGCCGGTCCTCCCGTGCGCCTCTGCCGCGCCCGAAGGGGAGGCTCGGGCTGCGGTGGCCGCGAGCGGCCCGAGCCGGAGGGAGGAGGCGGGGAGCCGCCGGGAATGGGGCCGGGGCCGCGCGGGGTAGCGGCGGCGGCGGCGGGGCGGGAGTGCCGCCGGCCGAGAGGAGACTCAGTCGCAGGGGTTATGGCCGGACAGGCGGCTGCTCGGGCTCCGGTCCGAGAAGGGGCTGGAGGCGGCGTTGGCGATGCTGGAGGCGGTGTTCGCCGCCTTCCCTGGCGATTCTCTGTCCTCGGCGCCCGGGGTCCGGTGTTCCCGGCGTGGTTTTGTGCGCGCGCGTTTCAACTGTTTGATTCTGAGCTTAAGTCGGTTGTAGCTCGTGATAAGTCCTTTTTGGGCTCGTTTGTTTATTAACTGCTTTTCGTTTGTTTTGTGTTTTTTTTGTGAGGGGTTTTTTGTGTGTGTGAACGGGAGGGATTGGAAAAGAACCGTAAATGGGGAATTTTCCACCGGGATTGTTTTGGAAGTGAGGTCTCGTTCTCCTCAGACATTTCCTCAATGTTACGTTTCAGCTCCCAGCTGACGATAAACACCGCGATTGTTTATATGCACAGGTTTTATATGTACCATTCCTTCACCAAGTTCAATAAAAACGTAAGTACTATTTTTATTGTCTGTTCTTACTGCCACCAAATTTCAACTAAGTCGGCACGCAGGGGGGAAAAAATGGTTATTGACTTTACTTTTGGATTTATAGTGTTCTAAGTGAACAGTAAAGGTAAATCTGATGAACGTTTGATGACAAGCTTCCAAGATTGTGTCGGGCTCTACCTACCAGGTCGTTTGAGCTAAAAGATAAAAAAGAAACATTTTTCTTTACTCAAAGGATTATGTAACTCGGTATTCATTTAAAATTTAAATAATTTTAGATAGTAATGTACAGTGTAATTTGAGCAAGTCTAGTCACTCTGTTGTACATCTTAATTGTATTTGGACTCATTGTTACAAATGTTATGAATAGGGTTCATTGTAACAGTTTGAAATAACCTTTTGAAAGAATTAAATGTTTACAGAAATATTTCACTTGCTAACACAATAATTCCTGTTTATCACCCATTACCATTAGTTGTCTACTAAAATTTTTGGTGATTCAAACGTCCAATCTTGCTGCAAGCATACTATGTGAGGTGTGTGTGTGTGTGTGTGTAAGTTTGAAGTGAAACTTAACCCTACAGAATACCAAGGCACTGGTTTTGAACGTTACCTGTAAATCTTGGCACATTTAGTAATGGCATTTAGTTGAAATTTTTAAGTTTTGAAAGGTGTGAATTTGTTGTCTGTTCTTTTCAGAGTAGCATACATATTGTGTTGGCGTATGTTTAAAATTTTGCATATTTTTAGAAATATTTAACTCAACCTCAATTCTCACTGTATTTTTTGGTCTTTTTTTTTTTTTTTATCACAGCTATTTTTAGAATGCTATTCTGAAAGGTGTGTATAGAAAAATGGACCATGGAAGACTATATTTGTGGATTGTCATTAGGATCTTTTTGCTAAGAAAAGCCTTTGAAAAGGTCCTTAAAATTTTGTTTTGAATTGGAAAATTGGAAAGGAAAGCTTCATAATTTAGATTGATTCTTATTTTCATCTCTTATGATCATGTCTGACTTGGTTTATTAGATTGGCAAATAGGTTTGTCTTGAACAATATGTATTTGCACACATTTTGGTCTCTTGCATCCCTCGTTGCTTCTACTTTTTCTCTTTTAAATTTGTGTGATTTTTTTATCTGTTTCCATTTTCCTATTATAGTATTTCTTGTGCACAGAACTTAGGTCAATGAGGTGTTATGGAAGAGGAAGGAAGTCTTTTTGGTAATAACATTTTCATTGAGAAAATTAAATTTGTATTTAAATTGTCTGTAATGGCAGTAGTGAACTAATGAATACTAATGTAATATAAACGTGGCTTTCCTTAAGTAGCCCTGGAAAATGCTTCTAGAAATCACAAGTCAAAATAGTTTGGAAATTCTTTTTTTTTTTTTTTTTTTTTAATATATTTTATTGATTTTTTACAGAGAGGAAGGGAGAGAGATAAAGAGCTAGAAATGTCCATGAGAGAGAAACATCGACCAGCTGCCTCTTGCACACCTCCTACTGGGGATGTGCCCACAACCAAGGTACCTGCCCTTGACTGGAATCGAACCTGGGACCTTTCAGTCCCCAGAGGGACGCTCTACCACTGAGCCAAACTGGTTTCGGCTGGAAATTCTTTATGTGGCTACAGATATCCTGAATCAGGCTTACTTTTCTATATCCAGTAAATATCTCTCCACAAGTTTACACTTATCATTTTGAATCCTCCGTCTTTCATAATTTCATATTACATGGTGTGCTTGAAAACAACCATCTTGCTTACAGCTAATATTCACAGCTTTAACTTGAAGTTGACTGGTGAAATCCAGGTCACTTGCATTCTAACTTTCACTATTTATGTCTATATGTATGGAGGTGAACTTCAGCATTTTGCATTGACTTGTTACTAGCAGAATAATTTAAATCTGGTGTTAATTTCTGTTTTTAAAAGTAATTTTGCACCGTTCATATGTAATTGTTGTCTTTTTACTTATGCTATTAAATCAAAAGTGGTTTTAATATCTGTGTATGTACACTTACATCAATTGCACAGCAATTTTTTTCTTTCCCCTTATTCTTTTAAGGTGAAGGGGGTAGTCTCAAATTGAATGTGAGTCACTTTTAAATTCGTACTCACCCTCATCATTGGGGGAAAAATTTTTTTAGGATTAAAATGGAATGGTATAGTAAACTTACAAAAAGCATGAGTCTTCACAAAGTATACTGAACACTAGTCAGTAAATTAAACACCAACAGGCTTAAATTTTAAGATGCTGGAGATAAACTATATTTAATTTTATAATCAATATTATGTATTAATTATATTTTTACTGTTTTTGTGGCTTCATTTTCCCACATTGACAAATTAAAAAAGTAAAAAATCCTATAAAACTCAAGTGCTATTGTATTGAATAATAAAATTAGTTTCAACATGTTTGTGATCCAGAAACTGATTTATCATTGAATTCTTTTGTCATTTTGCCTTATAGAGTTGGATCACTATCAGCAGTAAGTTACTTTTATGTGTAACCTAGGTAGATAAATTTACCCTTTGCTCACTGGATACAGTGAGGTTTATGTAATTGGGAGTAGTAATTAAAGAATGTCTTTTTAAAAAATATTAATTTCAGAGAGGAAAGGAGAGGGAGATAGAGAAACATCCATGATGAGAGAGAATCATGGATCAGCTGCCTCCTGCATGCCGCCACTGGGGATTGAGCCCTTAACCCAGGTATATATATGCCCTTGACCGGAATCGAACCTGGGACCCTTCCGTTCACAGGCCGATGCTCCATCCACTGAGCCACATCTGCCAGGGCTAAAGAATGTCTTTGCTAGATCAAGCTCATGATAAATCTAGTAAAGTATAAAACCCTGGCACCAACAGTGCCTCCAAGGTGTGTACTATAGCAGGGCATCCTCCCCAAGATCAATCTTAAGAATAGTTGTTAAGCCAAAACCGGTTTGGCTCAGTGGATAGAGCGTTGGCCTGTGGACTGAAAGGTCCCAGGTTTGATTCCGGTCAAGGGCCATGTACCTTGGTTGCGGGCACATCCCCAGTAGGGGGTGTGGAAGAGGCAGCTGGTCGATGTTTCTCTCTCATCGATGTTTCTAACTATCCCTCTCTCTTCCTCTCTGTAAAAAATCAATAAAATATATTTAATAAAAAAAAAAAAAAAAGAATAGTTGTTGATCTAGTTACTCTTAGAAACCCTGCTCATTAATTTGGTTAGACAAGTTTATGTTGCATTTGTTTCTTTTCTTTTCTTTTCTTTTCTTTTCTTTTCTTTTCTTTTCTTATTGAAATATATTTTATTGATTTTACATAGAGAGGAATTGAGAGGGACAGAGAGTTAGAAACGTCAATGAGAGAGAAACATTGACCAGCTGCCTCTTGCACACCCCCCACTGGGGATATGCCCGCAACCGAGGTACATGCCCTTGACCGGAATCGAACCCGGGACCTTTCAGTCCGCAGGCCAACACTCTATCCACTGAGCCAAACCGGTCCCGGCGCATTTGTTTCTTATATTCCAAATCTAATGAGTACACTTAAGATGAGGTTGTAGTAAAAAGCACACTCTTCTGAGCATTTTGTTGGTGATGGTCTGTTGTCATAGCACCCACTTTCTACTTTTCTTAGTTCTTTTGCTTTTTTTGAGCTGCAACAATCAAAACTGTACATAATATGCCAAATTTAGGTGTACTGTAATTTTCTTTAAGATCCCAAGAGTACATGGTTGTTGGTTAAGGACAGTATTCAAGACTAGTGATTTTAAGGAATGCTTATAAGAATGAATGCATCATTTATCTCATGTCTGAGTTTGATTTTATACATCTAAGTTTGGTTGGTTGATCAGCTTCTACACATAAGCAAATTTATATTTGCTTATGCTAAAATTTGATTACCACTTTTTGCTTATAATATATATAACCTTTCTTAATTGATTTGACTCTGACTAGTAGGTAGCATTTGAAAATCAGAAGTTCTCTTACTATTTAGAAAAATGCTCACTATCTCTGTTCTTTGATAACATTCTCCAATAATTTTTAATAAGAGTCCTTACAGTAGAAATTTATATAAGACTTTTTAAAAGTTAATGTTAACCAGTTTATACCATTGCCTTTTGTGAAAAACAAACAAACAAAACATTGGGGGAAATTGATTAGCTAAAGGATCTTATTTAAATTTTTATTGTGAGAGCCCTAATTTTTCTCAAAGATTAGATCATAGATAAAGTTAAATATGAAAACCTCCCTAACACACTCTCTCTAAAACTAGAAAGTAAGCCATGTAAAGGGCAGGGGGGGTTGTTTGTTTGTTTGTTTTCTCTTTAGCTTTGCTTATTGTTGTATTACCAGTACCTTTCATAGAACAGATATTCAGCAACTATTTGTCAATAGAATGGATCTAATCTTTTTTATTTTTTTTAATCCTCATCTGAGATATTTTTCCATTGGAGAATGGAACAAAGACCAACGCTCTGTCCACTGAACCAAACTGGCTAGGGTGAATGGGTGTAATCTTGTTACCCACAGCTCTATTAATAAATCCTTACACATTTTCCTCTCTCTCTCTCTCTCTCTCTCTCTCTCTCTATATATATATATATATATATATATATATATATATATATATATATATATATATATATTTTCTCCCCACAGACACACAATGTTTTCTTTATTATTGAAAACTAATGTAGGCATATGGTAAATGAAATAGGTACAAAAAGAGATATTATAAACCTGTGAATCCTAGTGTCTAGCCGCCGCGCACAGCATTGGCTGTTAAAGTATTTGTATGCCCTTTCAGAAATACATTTTGTTTGGGCAGGCATATATGTATATTTATTTTTCAGCACAGAAAAAGGTCCCTCCCATACCCCAGTTCTTAGAACCCAGCACACAGCCTCATATAGAATTGAATTCATCCTAGTTGGGGATAGGTGTGGGTACTTCTGAGGAAGTAATTTTTAAGATGGTACAGAAGGAGTAATGTAGATTGACCCAGTAGATC